TTATTACTGTTTATATTTTACTGCTTGTTATTCAGGATCTGTTCAGGGATTCTATGTCTTCTTGGTTCAGTTTTGGCAATTCATATGTATCTAGGAATCTGTTCACTTCTCCAACTTATTGAAAAATACATTTTTCCACATAATTTCTAATTATACTTTGGATTTCAGCACTGTTTCTTATATTTCCACATTTTTCATTGACTTCCACTCTGATTTTGTTTGTTTGTTTGTTTGTTTTGTTTTGTTTTTGTTTTTTTCCCGGTACCAGGAATTGAATTCACTACCTTGCACTTGCCAGGGAGGCGCTGTGCTGCTGAGCTAAATCCCCAGCCCCTCCACTCTGATTTCTCTACCTTCTTTCTTTTACAAATTTTTTACTTGGATTTCTCTTTTTTCTTCGCCTTTGGTTTGTATCATTAAATTATTTATTTGGGATCACTCTATGTTTCTAACAGGACTCATAGCTATAATTTTCTCTTAGAACTGTTATCACTGTGTCCCATAGGTTTTAGTATGTTGTTTCCACTGTCACTGGATTCTAAAAATTTAAGAATTGTTCCTTGATTATTTCTCTGACCTCTTGATTATTCAAATGTATTATTTAATCTCCACATGTTGGCACAGTTTATTCTTCTATTGATTAACAGTTTCATTTAACTATGAGCAATAGAATGCAAGAGATTATTTTAATTCTTTTGTATTAACTTAAGAATACTTTATTGTAGGGGACAATGACTCTTAGCATATCATTTTAAGATAGAACAATTCTAATCTTAATGCAAGCCTCAAAATGTGTCTTGAGAAACATCCCAGAGGAGTTGTAAAGAGTTAACTTTGCAGTCCCGACTTAGCCCTGGAATGCTTCTCCAAAGACAAAGAACACCAGGGCCCAGATAACCACCTATGACCCTGCCTGGGTTGTTTCATCCCTTCCCTGGCCCTAGATAAACACTGTAACCATAAAGGAAATATATGGTTATCTAAAAGGGGGACATATAGAACAGAGTACAGAAAGTATGTATCATTGTAGTTGGGCTCATGACCGGAGCCTGACCTGGTTATGTGGCACAAGGAAAACAACATGTGGCCAGGGCTACAACATTCCAATCTGTTACCATGGAAACCAAAAATGTATATAAGCTGGGAACAAAGGTAGGTCCACGCCTACTTCCCTGACTTGCAAGTCGGGATAAGAGGTGACTTCCTCCTCTTCAGTGTCCATGAAGTAAATTTTTCTAAATTAAAATTTTGTCTGTTCTCTTTGGTTTCTTGCAGAATACAGCCTGAATTTTTGCCATAACATTATGACTTAAAATCTGGTCAGTTTTGGATAAAGTTCCATGTACTTCTGGGAGAACATGTATTCACTTGTTAGACGAAACTCTGTAGATATTTGTTAAATCCATTTATTCAATAGTGTGGTTCAATTCTGATATTTCTTTACTCAATTTTTGTCTGATTGACTTTTCTTTTTGTGAGACTTGGGCATTGAAATCTCCCAATATGATGGCATTGATGTATATTTGCTCTTTTATGTCCAACAGTATTTGTTTTATGAAACTGAGTGTATCAGCATTTGGTGCATACATATTTAAAATTATTATCTCTTCATGAATTGTTTCATTTATCAGTATATAGTGGCCATTTTTGTCTCTCCTGATGTCTGCTGTGTTTAAAAGTGAGTGCTACTTTGGCTTGCTTTCAGGCTGTGGAGGGATGGAGTACCATTTTCCATTTTTTTCACTTTTAGTGCATTTCTCTTTATGGATGAGGACTCTCAGTGTCTGTTGGGTGGATCATGAGTGTGTGATACTGGATTAGTCCACTGATTGGTTTCATATAGTTCTGTGGATAACAGATTTATTGAAGAGGGAAAATCCACCCAGGGTGTGGGTCACACCCAATAGGCTTGTAGCCTGGATGGAATAAAAAGGAAAAAAAGAAAGAATAATTGCTTCTGTCTGCTATGCTATGAACTGTTTCTCCTCTTCCATGCTCGTCTATCTCGCCACCCTGCCTTGAAGTCAACCAGTGGTTTTGGAACCTTTACAAACTATGAGCTAAAGTAAGCCTTTCCTCCTTTAACTTGTGTGTTCTGAGTATTTTGTCCCAGCAATAAAAAAGCACATATGCTATGTAGTTAGGTTTTAATATTGATTTTTGAATATTGTTTTCCTAGATTTGGAAAATTTTGTATGATTTTGGTGAATATATTTAATTAACTTTTGAATCACTAATCTTACCTTTACTCCTGTAATTCTTCAGTTTGTCTTTATTTAGTCATCTCAAAGCTCTTTGATCCAGTTTCCACAGCATCTAATTGTTTTTAGGGTATCATTGAGTACATGACCTAGTACCACAATCTTGCCTTGTAGTTTTGATTCTTTGCACATTGGTTATTTCTGCTACCACATTTTCAATAGAATTTTTTATATCCTTCATTTCTTTTTACAACTTTTTAAATATAAATTTTTAATCTTTTATTGTCTCATTTAGTTAAATCTACTTTTTGTTTGTGCCTTAATTCTTAACCTGTTTTTAATTCTCTGAGTTCACTGAAAAGCTTATGGATTTATGTATTAGTTTCTTCTTTGATCTCTTCAATCTTTAATTTGTCTTCTGAATTCTTTACCTTTGACTTCCTCCTCTTCAGTGTCCATGAAGTAAATTTTTCATGATTAGCTTTTTGGAGGTGTCTTTTTTTCTCATGTTTCTATTGTTTTGTGCTGAGAATTGAGTATCAGGGTAGAAAATCTGTCACTACTGTGGAAACAGCTGACTTATCCCGGATGGGTCAGTTAGGTCCCCTGTTATAGTCTGAATAACAATCTCAGTGTGGACTGAGAATGCCCTGGGCAGTAAAGTGGGTGTTTGTGTTTAAACTTCATATATCTGCTCCAGAGTCCCTTCTGCAGACATATGAAGACCAAGCAGGAGAAGGCAGAACCAGAAAGCCACAGGAGCTGAGGGGAGGAAGCAACGGAGTCATGGAACCTTCTTGTCCAGCCAAGAGTCAAGTAGGCCATATCTCTAGGCGTGAGAGACGAGCTGTTTTCCAGTGGGACCAGAATCCTGCAGGTCTTCAGCATCACTTCCTGGTACACAGTCCTCTGTGCCAAGTCCAGCTTTCTCCATTTCTCCTGAGTGAAGGTCACAGCTATGTCACAGAAGGTTACCAAGACCTGGAAAGTCAAACAGAAGCACTGGCCTTGACTGTGCTTTTGGAAGGGATCAGAGCCTGTCACTTAGTTACTGGTGAAGGTGCAGAGACCAAGACCTGAATCACTGAGGGCTAAGTTCTGTGTTTGATTCAACATGGAGGTAGATGCGGCTTTTGGACATAAGGCAACTGTGGGCAGAATAAAAGCTTTCCATGAGAAAGCCAGGGAAGAAAACACACAATGGCAATGAAGAAGGTGGCAGGCAGAGAGTAAGTGCTATGGGATATAGAGAAATGATGGGAAACAACTGATAATTTTCACCATGATAGCAACAGCAAGTGGAGCTCCTGATACTCACAGTGTACTTGCATCAGAATGAGGGCCCTTTTCTAGTTGCCTCAAATGAAAAGAGCAGGCTGAGGGCTACGAGGGCCTTGATCAAGGCCACATGCCTCACCAGGGCTCTGTCCACTCACCAACACAACCTCCATCCATACTGCCATCTGGCTGCAGGGACAACTCTGTAGCCCCATAGTTACTGCCTTCCAGCTGTGTCTTACAGAGGCAAGGAAGACCAAATCACCATAACATCAACAAAGGATTCCCCCAGAATGCCAAAAGTCCTATATAGTTACAGAGGCTCTCTGCCATGCCCTCTCTTGAGCCAGCATTGGCCAGGCACGCTGCTGTTCCACTGCCTTTTGGGTATTGAGGCTGTGGCTTGCATGAGCCTGGGAAGCATGAACTTCTGTTGACCAGATTCAGGTTGAGCCATCCAGGAAGCAAAAACAGAGAAAGGAGCCCAAACAAGATCTAGTTCCCTAGGGAATGCCCCCCAAGGGCCCCCTTCCTTTACTTTGATCACATCTCCTAAATTCTCTTCACTTCCCAACAGCCCATCCATTTATGGAATCATCAACAGACTAATCCATTCATGAGGTCAGATCCCTCATGATTCAATTCCTTCCCCAAAGCCCCACCTCTAAACTTTCCTGCACTGCACTCCAAGTCTTGAACATGAGCCTTTCAGAGACATCAAAACTATAACAGTATTATTTTGGATAACTGTGTAGTCAGCTTTCCATTGCTGTGACAAAACACCAAAAGATGTTAATTTCTGCTAACATTTTTTGAGTTTTTAGCCCATGACTGAGTGGCTTAAACAACAGACATTATTTCTCATGTTCTAGAAGCTGGAAAGTCCAAGAATAAAACAGCAACTATTTTGATTCATGGTAAGATACCTGATAGTCATTTTTCTCTTAGTGTAACAAAATACCTGAGATAATCAACTTGTGGAGATCTATTCTGGACTATAGTTATACAGATTTCAGTCCACAATTAGTTGGTTCCATTGTATTTGTGCCTATGCTGAGGCAGCATATTATGGCAGGGAGCATGTAATGTAGCAAAGTAGTAATGTAGTACATACATGTGACCTATAGATATAACCCTATCATATGTTTTGCTAATTTTATGTAATATTAGTGTTTGTATGGTCAAACACTATGGTGTATCACTATCTCCACCTGTCTCACAGGTCCCTCGTGTACTCTGCATATCATGGCTGTTTGTCATGTCTGGCACACTTCTTACTGTGGATGTCTGAGTCTTCACTGCCACACAGGTACCTCAGATTATGTTCTTTCGATTGTGCTACAGGGAAACAGTCACATTAAGAACAGACAACCCTCAAGACTACTTGTGACCTCCTCCCTTCTCTCTGCTGCCATGAGGTGAGCAGATGTTCTCCTCCAGGCCTCTACCCTATGTTACTTTTTGCCTTGGAGCCAGCTAACTTTGAACTGAATTTACTGGCACCATGAGCCAAAGTAAAGCGCTTCTTTAATTTGCAAATAGTAGGTATTTTGTCCCAGTGATTGGTAAGTGAAATCATACACAACATGAAGATAGGGTAAAGTTCCAACATGTGTGTTTGTTAGACATATTTCATTTTTAACAAAAAGGGGAATATGAGCCAATATTCATTAAAATCTGGTCATTGGTATTAAATATTTTACGAAAGAAGATATTCAGATGGCAAATAGCAGATGAAAAAATCCTCAACATGATGAAACACCAGGGAAGTGTAGTTAAAATCAGAATGAGATGACATCATACACATATTAATATAACTAAAATTAGAAAGTCTGATCATATCATCAAAACAAAAAAGGAACAAATTAAGACCTTCATGCCCATTCACTGCCAAATTTGGAGGACAAACTTGTGGAGGAACAGGAACTATGATAGTGTTTGTAGAACCGCAACAGACACAACCAGTTTAGATAACAGTTTGGTCTTTTCAAAATGAAACACTCCCTAATCTGAAATTATTAAAATGCCTTTCCATATAAAGAATTATATGCCTATGTTCTTTGCAGTTTTATCTGTTAACAGCCCCAAACTGGAAACAACTCATCTGCCCACCAATATATGAATATACAGTGGCATGTCCACAGAACATAAGACTATTCAGCAATGAACAGCAAGTTTACATAAGATTAATGAATCTAAAATTATGCACTGTGAAAAATAGAAAAAACAAATACTTTATGATTACATTCACATAAAATTGTGAAAACACAAAGTAATCCACTGTGAAAGAAAATAGATCACTGGACACCTGAAGGCCTGGGTAAACCAGCAATATTGTACAAGAGCAAAAAATAAATTCTCAGTATGTTCATCATAATAATGGCTTCATGGATTTATATGTATGACAAATCTTTCCAAATTATACATTTTAAATATGTCCAGGTTATTATATATCAGTCACATTTCAGTAAATTTTTAATGATATATCTAAGAGTACAATCTCTTTTTTTAAGGAATCCAAGTTTGACAAACCTATGTTCACTCCATTATCTTCTTCCTCAACCTCAGGGAAGGGAACCCTTGTACCAGTACAGGAAAACAGCAATATTTGCCAGACAAATATATCCTTACTCTCCCACATACTGGAACCTTATTCTGTCTTCTTGTCTTTTTGCCTATATGGCATTTAGACTTAAGTGAGCACCCTAGAAAGACAATAAGATTCTGCAACTCTTTAAGAATATCTTCTTGAAATATCTTCCTAAATTGTAGGACATATAGCTTTGGAAGTAGTGTGGTTGTGGAGATACATATTTAAGAGAATTTTGAGGTGTATTTTTTAAAAAAATTACTTTTATTGGTATACTTTTGATATAATGATCACATCCATCATAGGGAATTTGTACCTACACACAATAGATCTTGATTTTTTTCCCATCCTCCTCCCCCCCCTTCAACTTTTCTTCCAGCTGCATATTTCATCTGGTTTTCTACCAGCTCCTTCACTTCCTATTAATGACACTCTGTATCACTGTACTAATTCTTATTCAAGTCTTGACCCTGCATCTTACTACTAATATCAACATACGGAAATATGGACATAAGAGCACATGACTCTGTAGAATGTAAGGAAATGTTTACCCTCAGTGTTGGGTATTACGTGCAATTGTGCCAATAATGGAATAAATGCAGGGTATTCCAAAAGTGCTGAATGTAGTCATAAAATGCTGCCTCTTCAGGGTGACCACTGGTACAAACAAACAAATATAACAGAGGCATTGAGTTTCACACCTATGACATGGAACACTGTATGTCCCACTGGAGGTCTTGGGTAGCAGTGTAAACTAAGCAAAATGGAATGAAAATTATCTCTGTCGTTAGAATCTACCTACTGAGTCACACACATAGCAGTCTAGATTAAGTTGTCCAATCTTTCACACAGTCAGGGTTGATAATCTACCCATCCAAGGCTTGAGCATAGCTTCTAGAACAGAACTAGAGCAACGTGGTAAGATGATACTGGTTAGTGATATGGACTCTGTGAACATTAGGTACAGAGGTTACATGACTGGAAATTTAATGGAAATCAGGCCTTCCTTGCAAGCCTCCAGCTGAACCTAGACCATCCTTGTAGTGAAAACATGGCCAGACCCTTTATATACTCAAAAAAAAAAAAAGTAACTTTTTGGTTTCAGGCCACTGGGGATGTCTTTGAGGGAAGGGCAGAGCGCAGATATCTGCCTTCCCCAGGCAAGCTGGTAAGAGTAGTCCACACTGCAAAAAGTCAGGGGCAAGACAGCTTTTAGGGGCTAATATGGCAGCAGTTTATCCCTGGTAAGGCCCAAAGACAAGTGTAAAATGTGCAGAGTAGCTCCCATACATCTCACACATGCATGTATATCAGAAGACTCTTTACCCCTCTGGATGCTTGGAAATATGAGGTTCATCTTCAAGCAGATAGCTCCCTCACAAAGGCTTATTCAACAGACAGCACATACCTTGCAGGCCTACTACTTCAATTGTGGGCTTTTTCAGGATCTAAGTGATGTTAAATCTTGGGTTGAGAGAGTTCCTGACTGTGTTGCCTTCACGAGGCCTTTCCATGGTGACACTTTTGGTGTTCAGAGAAGCTAGAGCGTTGGCTGAAGGATTTTCTACATTTGCTACATTCATAGGGCCTTTCTCCAGTGTGAACCACCTGATGTTGAATGAGGACAGACTTTTGCCTAAAAGATTTCCCACATTGGCCACATTCATATGGTCTTTCCCCAGTGTGAATTCTGCAGTGTTGAATAAGACTGGTGCTTCGACTAAAGGTTTTCTCACATTCACCACATTTGTAAGGTTTTTCTCCAGTGTGAACTCTCTGGTGTTTAATGAAAGCAGCTCTTCGACTAAAGGATTTTCCACACTGGCCACATTCATAAGGCCTTGATCTAGTGTGAATCCTCTGGTGTTCAACAAGGCTGTAACTTTGCCTGAAGAATTTCCCACATTCAGTACACTCATATGGCCTTTCTCCAGTGTGAGTTCTCTGGTGTCTATCAAGTTTGGATTTGTATCCAAAGGTTTTCCCACACTGACTGCACTCATAAGGTCTTTCTCCAGTGTGAACTCTCTGGTGTCTAATAAGGGTGGCTCTCTGGCTAAAGGATTTTCCACACTGGCCACACCCATAAATTTTTGTTGTCATATGAATTCTGCAGTGTTCAATGAGACTGAAGTTTTGTCTAAAGAATTTCCCACATTCCCCACATTCATAAGGCCTTTCTCCTGTGTGAATTCTCTGGTGCCTAATGAGAGTGGCTCTTTGACTAAAGGATTTGCCACACTCTCCACACTCAAAAGGCCTTTCTCCAGTGTGAATTCTGCAGTGTTCAATAAGGTTGGAGCTTTGGCTGAAGGATTTCCCACATTCACCACACTTATATGGCCTTTCTCCAGTGTGAACTCTCTGGTGTATAATAAGAGTGGCTTTTTGACTGAAGGATTTTTCACACTGACTGCACTCATAAGGCCTTGCTGTGGTATGAATTCTCTGGTGTTCGACAAGGCTGAAGCTTTGCCTGAAGAACTTCCCACATTCAACACACTCATATGGCCTTTCTCCTGTGTGAGTTCTCTGGTGCTGAACAAGATTGGATTTGCACCCAACGGTTTTCCCACATTCCCCACACACATAAGGCCTTTCTCCACTGTGAATTCTGCAGTGTTCAATGAGGTTAGAGCTTTGACTAAAAGACTTTCCACATTCATGACATGTATATGGTTTTTCTCCAGTATGAACTCTCTGGTGTATAATAAGGCTGGCTTTTTGGCTGAAAGACTTTCCACATTCACTGCATTCGTAAGGTCTTTCTCCACTGTGGACCTTCTGGAGTGGAACAAGTGAGTACTTGTCTTGGAAGGCTTTCCCACATTTGCTAGACTCAAAATATCTTCTTATATTAATGACTTTTGGGGGCTGAACAAGTGTGTGTTTGGGGCTGGAAGCTTTGCTGCATTGATTTGATATGCAACAACTTTTTCCACTGTGAATAGCCTCCACACCTGTTATGATTTTGTTTGGCTTCTGATCTTTGGGGTTGTCCTGAAGACAACTCCACTTAGCTGAGAAATCCTGTTCAATCTTCCTGCTGAAGAGGTGATTCCTTGATACATGGAGTAAACAGCTCTTCACAAAAGAGACACTGTCTGTATCTCTTTTTAACAGATTCTCTGCATTCTGATGCTTCTGTTCCTGGCGATGGTTTGCACATGCCCTAACAAAGTACTGCTTCTGTACAGATAGATCATCCAGATGCAGAATGTCTTTCAGGACTGGGACACAGATATCACAGGAGTGTGCCTTCTGGGTGGATGGACCTGCCTGTAGGGTCTTGACCTGTGACACTGCTTCTACAGAAACACTCTGCACAGAAGGTGCCTCTCCATCCTCTGTTTCATGCCCACAAACTGAAAGAAGAGAAATAAGGAATGCATGTTGCCTCTAATAGAAGACTACAGTGTTTTAAATGTTTCTGTTTACTAAGATATTTTTGATATCTTAAAAAATGGTTCTGGCCAGCGATACTGCCCCCTCTACCCTAGAGCTAGCTGATTCTCAAGAGACAGCAAAGGGAGAATACAGTTCATATGATAATGACCCAATCCAGAACAATACTGCAGACCCCAGTATTGTGGTTGTCCACACTCGGAGAACACACCTTTGCCCTAACTACCCAGGCCCAGACACTGGACAACTAAGGCCAACCTCTTTCCCAAAGCTCACCAAAATTATCTGAATCAGTCAACATGATCTGTTAGGCAGAAAGACTAGCAGGCCGGGAGACAGGCAGTTGGGGCTAGATGAAAAGCAAAGACAAAGTGATATTTTTCCCTTTTCTTTTGTTTGCTTAATCATTAGCTGAAGATAAAATCCAACAGCTTCTGATTTCAAATGTTAGCCCACGAGTATGTAACCTCCTTTGAGTGTGCTGATCGGGTCCATGATCCATGCAAACCCAGACCATGAATGTAGGATTGGAAAAGCCTCAAGGTCTCAAGACATGTTAATCAGGGAGTAAACAGGTATCTTCTTCCCTCTGAAGTTGGTCTACACTACCCATTTTCCTTGTAAAACAACAACGACCTCCAAGGAAGCAAGGAATATGCCTGAAAGATCCAGTTAATCATATAAACATAGCCTGGGACCTCATTTGGTACAACTGTCATCTCGGTGCTTGTCCACATTTACCCTTTAAAGTATATTCTCTCTATTGTTCTGGAAATCTATCATTTTGCAATAAACTCTAAATATACTCTGTAAGACTACCTGTGCATCTTCTTTTTTTTTTTCTTTTTCCGGTACCGGGAATCAAACTCTCGACCTTGCATTTGCCAGGCAGGTGCTGTACCGCTGAGCGAAATCCCCAGCCCGCTACCTGTGCATCTTGTCTGAAATTCTCTGTTGAAGACACAAAGAATGGAGGTGGAAGAGTGCTGGTTCCTTGTAGTGTTAGGAACTAGCTTCCTGCTACATGTGCAGCTTTCCCTGCACTGTCTTTCCTGCAGAAACTCAAAGCTGTAGCCTAATGCTTTCTCTCTTGTTTCTGTCTCCTGATGACCTGCTGCTTCCCCATGTCACCTGTATGATGTCATATACAGTGTACTTCCTGGTCTCACACACTGAACTTATAAATTCTTCTTTCAGGGGCATTTATTTCTCTGTGCTGGCACCTAATTTCCTCTTCAAATTAAAATCCGTAGGTACCTGTTAAAGTGATTGGCACAGAGGCCAGGATATCCCACATAGAGGCTCTTCCTTGGACCACTCTGTGCTTCCTGCCTGGCTGCAACACTTAGCACTTGCTGCCAGAGGGCTCTGCTGATTTGGTGCATTTGTGCTCTGCCTGCTGCCTGCTTGTGCAGGGTCTGATTTTCCATGCTTGGGTTTTACAACCTAAATTATTGCTGAGTGATCCAAGGTCTTAGCATAAGGTGGGTCCTAGGTATTTCGTGTGTTTCTGGGCATAAATGCTGCATGTAACTGATGTGTCTGTGGACCAGTGTAACTCTGGGCACCTGACAGTAACAATGGGATGGACTCCTGGTGGAGTTGCAAGCAAGTAGAGGGGCATTGGCTAGCCTACTGGATGCGAAGGTGCAAAAGAAACAGGGAGAAGCTTTTCTCGATATGGCTTAAAATGACTGGGAGTGAATCTGACTTCTGGCAGGCAGCAACAACCGAGATGGCAAGGGCACCTTGGAGGGTGGCAGCCGGTCCTGAGCTCTAGGTGGCATTCCCCACCAAGTTCATAACCTATTCTCTACCTTCCTGCTCAGATACAATGACACTAATCTTCATAAATACTCTAGAAAGATGTTGGCTCATATACTCCAACAGAGTAACTGCTGGACCTGCCACCCTGACAATAGCATATTTTTAACACACTTTATATCTCTAGCAAGATACTGTTGGAAAAAACATTCAGGCCTACTTATTTGGTGAGTGCCACAGGAAAATTAGTTACGGCCTGGTCTCTGGGACTTTTTATACTTCCATTTACATTCCTTTCTTACTCTGATGATTACTTTCTATCCTATTTAGGGAAATTTATGCTCTATTTCTAAAAATTCTCAATTATCACTCTAAGGTTTCCTTAATATAATGTGAAACTAGCTGCAGGCTGATTGTATTTATGTTTTAAATTTTTGTATGTAATGATGTTTCACCATCCTAAAGAATCTTGTGGTAGGGGAGAGACCACTGCTCCTAAGTTTAGTCAATTCCTATACACAGCAAAGGACTTGGACAGGAGCCTGCTGGTCATATAGAAACTAACAAATCCAGAGTCTTTACTCCAAGCCACTTCTATGTGGCTTATAGGAGGAAATATTCCTTGGCCAGAACTATCCTGGGGCCAGGTACTAGAAAACTAATGCAGCCCTATGACTCAAATTCCACCAAATTATTCAATCCAACCATGCTTACTCTGAACTGCTTTTCTGCAGAAACCCCTCATAGAAGCTGTGGCCTATCATGTACTTCACACTTGCTTCTGCTTTCTGTCAATTAGCACGTCCTCATGAGGTCCTCTGTGACTTCCCCCTTCTCTCAGAAAAGTAACAATTTTTCTTTCAGTGTCATTGACCTTCTGTGTTGTCACTCAGTGATCACAAATTAAAATATATCCCCGGATATACATCACCTCAGTGAAGGGTAAACCCTATCATGCACACAATAGGGACTGAATCTATAGGTTTTTCTGGGATGAGGAAACTCAGGCAAGGCTGGAAAAGGGGCTGTGTGGTAGTACTAGACATCTCCATATCACAGAATGAGAGCAGCCTGGCCAAGCAGAGTGCATGAGGAAGAGGTGCAGCCTTCCTTAGGAAGGTGAGGAAGGGTATCCAACTGAGCCCCCTGTAAGGGTCTTCAGTAGGCCCTTATCCTGGAGACATGTGCATGCCGTATAGAAGGCTGGCTGTGTCCATGCCCGGGAATTCCAGTTGGGACTGAGTGTCACATATTCAGGACTATTTAATGATAACGTAGACACACATATACAGAGTGCAGGTCAGTGCTGGAAACACTGTAGAGAGGCACCCTGGAGGGGCACAAGAGAACAGAAGGTCTGGGGCCACTGGGGACCAGAATTCACAGATGCAATGAGAAGCCAGCAAAGAATTAATGAGGTATGGTCTGTGGCACTTTCACTAAAATACTATTGGACATGGTGCAGGTCCCTGGCATGATTTAAACACAATCCTGACATCATGCCCTTCCCAGCTGCCACTGATTTGGGCAAAACTTCTTTGGAGACCATATTCCTATGGTTACCTTGGGAAACAACCAGGTACCCCCACCTCCCCAAATGTTTAACCACATGTGAAATACAGAAAGCCAACGAAGGCAAGCGATCAGCAGTGGCTGAGGGCAGCTCAACACAAAAGATCACACAATAAAAAATGAAAAAAAAAGAGTATTACAGAAACTCTGGAAGGAGAGTCTGGCAAATAGGCCATGGTCCACACAAGCTCTGACCATGACAGTGCCTGCAGTTCCTGACCCAGCTGTAAGGAAAAGTCAGCTGCACTCAGCTAAACGCTGGCCCCCACAGCTCATGAGCAAGGGGAGTGGGAAGTCAGCAGAGCTTACAGTCTGGCTGCAGAAAAGGGCAGAGCTGCCTCTGGGGGCGGAGAGGACAGAAAGAATCCCAGAGCCTGGGACAGGTGCAAGGGCCTTACCCAGTGAGGTGGTGAGCTCAGAGTTCTCCATCATTACATCAAGGTACAGGAACCTCTGAGTCTCATCCAGAAGCCCCCACTCTTCCTGAGAGAAATACACAGCGATGTCCTCAAAGGTCACATGGCCCTGTCACGACGGGGACACACTCAACAATCAGCTTCTCTTTTAGGGTTCCAAGTGCACCCCACCTGTCTCCTGTATCTCACAACTCCGAGGAGACACCAAGCCCCAGCATCAGCTGAGGAGGATCACATCTCCTATTGTGATCCCATCACCACTGTGTTCTCCCATAGCATCAGCAGGGTGGTGGCTGCAGAGGCCATTGCCAACTCTGGACCGGGCAAAAGAAGAAGGTGGTAACCCCTTCGTGTCGGGCAATTATGCTGGGGTTCCTCAGGTTGTTTCTCCCACACACAACCAAGTATGAGCTCATCCTTACGTCCCAAACGCCAGGGCTGGGAAGTCTTCAGTTCGTACTTCCTCTCTGAGCGCATTTCTCCTTGGACCACGGTCCTCTCACATCGCCTCCACCCAATCCCTGGTCTCCCCGGGGCAGCTTGGCACAGGCGTCCAGAGACAACTGCGTAGACGGCGCCAGAACCCACTACTGCCCGGATATTTGATGATTCTTACTGTCAGAGGCAGGCTACATCTTGTGAATGTCTCCCTGCCCGACAGTCACGGGGCGCACAGGGTGGAAGAGCGTCAGGCAGAGTTCTGCGACACAGTTCCACAGGTGGAGTGGGCTCACACCAGGGATGCCCTCCTCTCGCGTTCTGCAGCCCCGGGGTCTGCGGGAAGGCTGTGAGCGGCAAGCGAGCGTGGTGCGAGGCCCAGGGGTTCAGGACTCCCTGCATCCCGCGCAGCCCCGGCTCTAGGTGACCCCAGGACGCTTGGATCGTCCTCAAAGCTGACAGCAGTCGCGGAAGCCCGAACAGTCCCGGCCTTCGGGGCCCTTCTCCCTCTCCCTGGCGGTTCTAACTCTGACCCACGCTCCGGAACCGGACACGGTACACCGCCCCTCTCCGCCCGGCTCGGAGCTCGGAGGCCGGGGGCCGGGCGCTCACCTGGGCTGGGGCGCTCGCCATTGCACCACGCCTCCGACTAGCTGGTGGGCAGCGGGGTCAGCCCTGCCCTCGCGCCTCTTCCGTGACACCCCCTGTCCTGTCCCACCGGCCTGAAGCTCCCACAGCGAGGATACCCAAGCGCTGTTCTGAGAAATGACCGGCAGCTTGGCAGGAAGTACCGCCCGGAACCCGTGGCCCAACCCGGAAACGACCCTGTTCTGAGCGTTTATTGGCTCGGCCTGTTGCCACTCGGCTATGTCATTGTGGGTAATGTAGTTTTCACAGTGGCGCAGCCCTGGCTGAGGGGTCCACCCTTGGAGGCTGGAGTTCAGCGGCCCAAGGCCTCCTGGACCCCGCCCTGTTCTGTTTCCAGTGTCTCTGCCTCCTTATTGATTGGCCTGGTTCTCTTGCATCCTGGATGCCAGCCCGCTCTCCCCATGTCTCCCTGCACAGGGTGGTTGCAACAGCATGGTCAGTAGTGTCTGCTCACCTAGAAAGGTGGGAATCTTCTGTGGTGGGGCCGGCGAGTTCGGCTTGGATATGGAGAGCGCTCTTTGGTCACTCATGTTTTCCCCCACTCTCCCTGTTTTGGTAATTCTGGTGGTAATTTTCACGGAGAACCCCGGCTGTGGGACCGAGTCTAATGATTTTGGCCAGCTTCACATTTATCACCTTGAACTGGAAATCCACAAGTGCCTGTAACTTCTGCCTTCACACTCTTTCCTCCTTCAGCATCAACTCCCGGTCTATCTTCCACTCTGTGAAGATTACTGGGATTATTTTTTTGTGTGGCAGTCTAGTGTGCGTACATCTTCCTTGGAGGCATTCCTGTGATGTTGATACCCGTTTGTACACTGGAACATTTTACTGTTCTCGAGCCTTTGTTGATATGAGGGTTTTTTTGCCCCCGTCTAAGATGCAGCCAGTAGGCAGCTGCCCAGGGCACCACTCGGTGACCGTGGTGCTGAGCTTGGTATCAGCACCACTAGAGTAGGGGCAGCAGGTGCCCAGTCTCTGCCTCGCTGCTCCTGGTGCAATGATGAGGAGAGGCCAGCTGCAGCACCTGGGGTATGATGGTAACTAGGGCGGCAGTCAAAATGCTCGGGGTTCTCTGGAGTCCACTCTCCTCCACTCTTACCATCAGTTAAACTCCATATAGCTTCTGACTCATCAAAAACCTAACAAATAGCTTGCTGTCGACTGGAAGACCGATGAACAATACAGTCAACATGTATTTTGTATGTTACATGTTTTATATAGTGGGAAATGAGTGACAATCATGACAGATCAAATTTTACTGCTATATGCAAGTTACTGGAGATGAACTGCTAAAGCAGAGATAACTACTACGTATGGTAATTTAAGTGGATTCTCAAAACTCTTCAGCTGTTGCAAAAAGCAACAGGAGATGAGTAAAAAATTTACAATAGTATACTATTATTAATTATTGTTATGTAATTGTGATTTTTTATTTTAAAAATTGAAAAAACTAATGAAGACAAAATTGAAAAAACAATGAAGACAAAATCAAAACAACACAAAAACAACAAACATGACCTAAAAACAAAATGATAGGAATTAACAATGGTTGCTGCATTACATACTGTTATCTTCAATGAAGTTGCTCAGTCCACCAGACATGAGAATGCAAGATTGATAAAACAATCAAAGACAGTGACACATAATAAAAAAACAACAACATTGGAAATGATGCAGCGCTTCACCATAGAAGATGGTAGGAGTTCAACAATGGTTCTTATACTGCATATTATTGTTTTCAGATCAGTCATTCTGATTACCAGATTCAAGCGAACCAAATTGGTCAAGAAAAAAAAAATTAAGCATTGACTCTTCCTTTCAATAAACCACAGAAATCAACAACACACCTATTCCAGCTATCCTTATATATACATATACATTTTGTTTTTCATTTTAAAAAACAAAATAACAAAAACAAATACATAAACAGCATAGAGAACAATAAAAATGTTCAAAACATGGTGATAGGATATTAACAATGGTTGTTACATTACATAATGTCATCCTCAAAATGGTGGCACATATAACCAGATACAGGCATGCAAGATTGATCAAACAATTACACATTAACTGTTCATTTCAATAAACCAACAGATATTAGTAGTACAATTATCCTAGCTATCCTGTGTACACATATACATTTTTTTCCTCTTCCTTCTTTCTTTTTGCTCTCTGCTCCTTCATCCCCGTTGCTCCTTCCAAACTGCATAGGAAATACTTCAAAAAGTGAACAACTGGGATTTTATCTTATTGAAAAGTTTTCACACATAAAGTCACCAGAGGGTGAAAAGAAAACACACGAATTGGGACAAAATTAGCCAACTGTCCCTCAGACAAAGGACTCCTATCTAGAATATATAAAGAATTAAAAAAAATCAGGCTCCCAAAATTCAAAGACCCAATACAAAAATGGGCATCTGAGATGAATACACACTTCTAACATGAAGACATACAAATGGCAAATAAATACATGAGAAAATGCTCAACATCGTTAGTCATTTGAGAAATGCAAATTAAAACAACACTGAGATTGCATCTCACCCCAGAAAGAATGGCTGTCATCAAGAAATCAACCCATAACAAATGCTGGAAGGGCTGTGGGGAAAAAGCAACCCTTCTTCGCTCTTGGTGGGAGTGTAGATTGGTGCAACCATTGTGGAAATCACTCGAGATTCCTCAGTAAACTAGGATTAGAGGTCCCCTTCAACCCAGCTATTCCCCTCCTGGGTATTTTACCAGAAGAACTGAAAACATCATATCACAGTGATATATGTGTACCCATGTTTAATGCAGCATAATTTGTAATAACTAAATCCTGGAAACAACCCAAATGTCCATCAACTGAGGAATGTATAAAAAAGATGTGGTGTTTTTATACAATGGAGTATTACTCAGCTATAAAGAAAGATAAACTAGAGGCTTTTATAGGTAAATGGATGCAACTAGAGACCATACCCATAAGTGAAATAAATCAGATTTACATGTGCAAACATTGTATTTCCTCCCTACTATAAGAATCCGAAAGAGTAAATAAAATCTGAAAGGTACAATAGATACTGTGAAAGAGAAAAGAAACTGCTCAAAATGTAATTGTGATTTAGTCCTATATTTTTATTTAAATTTCTCTAAGCAATGAATGATGCCATGCATTGTCTATGTTTGGGTACATAAATTTTGATAAATTCATAGATTTTTGTGATTTTTGGTGGTAAATGTAAACTTATTTATATATATTTTATGCATTCATATCTAAATCTTTTAAAAAATCTCAATATTTCTAGGCTACATAGTTTTTGAGTTTTTTTCAGATTGTATCTGATTTCTTTTTGAGACAGGGTCTTGCTATGCAGTTCAGGCTGTCCTTAAACTCACTATGTTGCCAAGGCGGGCCTCAAACTCATTGCGGTCCTCCTCCAGAGGGCTGGGATTATAGACATGCACCACCACACCCGGCTAAAGTGTTTTCATTGTAACAAATCACCAAAACCCAAATATTCACAATTAAGTGGACCCACACAGTTTAAACCTATTTTAAGGGTCCATTAAAAACCAGTTGGGAAAAATTATTCCCAACCTATGATGTATTCCCATATGAAGAAAAAAATCTTTCTTGGTGCAGGGGCAGAGAGCTAAGCAAGAGTGCCTGCTGTCCCTGTTACTGTTAGTGAGTCACACTCCTACAAAGAGTCAAATGGATGAATATACTACAGTAAGGGAGTAGATCATATATTGTTCATGTCATTTATCCCTCAGTTCCTGGAACCAGCAAGCCTGGAGTCAGCCACACCGGACAGTTTCTTATTAGGTGAGGTAGTGAACCTTTTCAGGGAGAAGCTGGTGTATCTGGTCTTATCTTACATGCATTAAAATGTATTTCAGTAGATGTATAGAGTAAGGTGAGCAGGTTCTGTGAAGATGGCCAAAATGGAGTCAGCAAGATGCACAGAAACACCAGTTAACAGATTCTGATTCACTGGCCAGGCTCCACTCAACCATCACTCGTTAAGTGTTCACAGACATGTACCACTGGCCTGCACGGCACTCCCGGTGAGACCAGTGAATCAGATATTCTTTCAGTTTATCAAGGACATAAACGCTTTCCATCTAAGGGTTTTCCACTTGCTGATTCCTTCCCTGGCTCATTCTGCCTCTTCAACTACCCACCCAGTTCACTCACACTCAGTGTCTACGTCTCATCTCTAACGTTATTTCCTAGGATATTTTCTTTGAGGTATCCATAAGTTATGAGCCTATAGACATTAATTTTTAAATTTATTTTTTCATGAATATACAAACATAAAATTACACATATTAGCAAGGCACGACATAAGTTTTCATTCTTGTATAAATTGTGTGATGTTTAAATCATGTTAGACACATCTATCTCCTCTACTACTGCTCATTTCATCATGGTGAAAACTTTCAAAGTCGTTTCTTCTAGCTTTCTGAAATATACAGCATATTACTGTTATCTGCAGTCACTCCACTGTGCAAAAACACACAACTAATTGCTTCTATCTAACTGCAGCTTCGTACTTATTAATAAAGCTCTTCCTATCTTTTGCTTCTAACCACTCATCCATTATTGATTTCTATGGGATCAATGTTTTAGATTTCATAGATCATACAATACTTGTCCTAGGAGAATTGTGAAATGTGCATTAAATGAACAAAAACATTCGCATGAGGGCTTTCCAGAAGAACAAGTAAAGGGGCAAGTCATCGAAATCTATTTCACTATCACCCCAAGACATTTCAAATCTTCAAAGAGATCTAGGTATTCAGATATTAGTTCAGATGATTCCAAACTAGTTTGAATTGAAAATGTCTTTATATTTTAGTCAATATACTAAAAGTGCAAGACAAAGAGAGAATTCAAGAAACGTTGAGGGAAAAGCATCAGGTCATATATGAAGGAATGTCCACTAGACTTACTGCAGATTTCTCAAATGAAGCCTTATAGACTAAAAGAGAATTGGATTGAGTAATAGTCTTTCCTAGATAAACAGAAGCAATTAGAACTCACAATCCAGACTAGTCCTATAAGGGACTCCTAGACCTGAAAACCACCATCATTAACACACACACAAATGTAAAACATTCATGAGAACAGATACAAAATGAGAAAAAGATCTTCAAAC